GGGGGGGGGGATTTCTTTTGTTTCCTGCGCACCGGCAGCTGAGTCTGGAGAGGTCTGTGTGTCAGTGCGTAGTGTGCTGAGTTGTAGTTTTGTGCAGCAAGTGGAAATGGGAGACAGCACGGTGCCAACAACCCAACTTTTTCCTCTGCTGTAGAGCACTGAAACTTAACTTGGCAGATCAGAGGTGGGCTTTTAGGAAATCTACAATATTGCGCACACACTTGGTTTGTCTTGCATGACGTTCAGTTTAATTTAATAAATCCTGCAACAGCTTCCAACATTCATGCAACAAACATATGGGGGGAGGGAGGGGGGTAGTGCTTTTTGTCTTCCTGTAGACATGTGTGCACACACAGCCCACATGCAACCACACATACCTAAAGCAGCACTGTTTGGAGCTGAGCTGCAGCAGGATGAGGGTCAGCGAGATCATCGGTGTCAGGCAAGGGGAAGCGCTGCGGTCGGCTCTGAGCTGAGGCTGACGGTAAAAGGGCGGCCCACATCAAAGAGATGAGCAGACTTCAGAGGAACTCAATTTTTCTTCTTGGCAAGAAGTCTTTTGCCAACCGCTGGTCAAAGCTGCATGTGTGCACGCACGGACACGCAGGTGCATACACATGCGTGAACAGACAGCTGGATGCACAAAAGCACACACATACACATACACACACGCACACGCACACACACACACACACACACACACACACAGCACAGATCAGCAAAGGAGGCAGTACTTCTCTAAGAGTGAACTCAGGTAATTGCTCAGCATTCTAAGAACAGAGGAAGCTTTACTCACAAAACTAAACACAAAAAAACTAGTTTTAGAGAAGCAATGGAGGGACTTTCCACGTGCATTAATATGTGAAAATTCTTCAGAGGATCCGGCCGGCTCACAGGGTGGATTGGGACACGTTTAAAATGTCCTGAACTGAAAAGAGAAAGTCTTTACCACGTTTCCAAAAAGCACCCAAAACCTTCCGGGATTCTTTTGTCTATGCAGGATGGTGTCCCTCAGGCAGTCTTTTCTGTTTTCTGCCATGAACAAAAAGGCAACAATAGCAGTGGCAATCATGTCTAATCTTGACCTGTTTTGCTGAAAAAAGCAATATTTAATGCCTCTAACCCTCAAGCATATAAACGGTAGGGGTTTTTGTGCTCCAGGTAAACAAAGAAGCATTTATAGGTGTATGGTTGTTAAAATGAAGGACTATGTGTGTTGTTGACGTAATTATTGACCTACTTTACTTAACAGTTGCGATTGTAGTCTTTGTGATACATCAAATTCTTCTTTCTGCAAACCGATTTCCATGGCAGCAACTCATGCAGCCCCTATGCGAGACTAAACAACAACAACATGCCTTGTTTTTCATGCTATGTTCCTCTTGGCGACAGGTGTAGCCTATATGGGCCAGCGGAGAAGGAAGAAAGAAAAAAAAGAGGCTATTGTAAAGGGTTGCCCGCCTCTGCTGCTGCTGCTATTTATATGGAGTTAACAAACATATTCTCTCACCGGAGCAACAGTCCAGACTGTTGAGGCAGCCCGGCTGTCTGGGCGAGGTCTGAGCCAGCGCTGGGCTACAGCTACGACAGACTGAAATGGAAGGAGCGAAACCAGACTGATCTGTGATCAGCTGACTTGGAACCATAAGTGTTTTTCAACCGTGGCACGGAAAGATGGCAAATATCTAGCAGCAATTTACTCCAGAGTGCTTCCCAGACTGTTTCCTTTTTCTGCCTATATGAAGTGCTGATAATGAGTTTTCCTCTCTTTCACATGGGCCAGACAGAATATTTAGCTCATCCCCGATGGATCTACCACTACAGACACAATATTTACTAAGACCATTAAAGGCAAGTGGTAACTTGTTTTCTTTAACATGTTTGACGATTTGGGAAATAGGCTTATCCACTCTCTTGTCGATAGTTAGGTGAGAAACTCATGTCTGTCAATATGAAGCTGAAGCCTGCAGCCGCTTAGCTTAGCTTAGCATAAGAGAACAGAGCGAAACAGCTAGCCTGGCACTGTCCAAAGGTAAAATCCACCTTCCAGCACCTCTAAATCAAACAAATCAACTCATTACATGTCTGTTTAATCCATACTAAAAAAAAAACAAGTTCTACAGCGGCGAAGCTTATCTCTCAAACTATTTAACAATTTCTAAGTCGTACTTCAGAGCAGAATTATTGAGAGATTCAAATAAAATGTCTCAAAATGAACTCATGAACTCACTCATGGCCCGTTGTTTTTGTCTGAGCAATTCTTTCGTCTGAAAGAAAATGTACATTTTTCACTACACAAGGCAAGAAAATTTGCCCTGTGGTGTTATATTACCACATGCTGTTTGCTGCTTGACTACTTTAACCCTGGTGAAATGTTACAGTATGTGTTTCCATATTGGGACATGATTCCCAGACTTGTGGTTCAAATGTAAATCCTAAACGCTTCGCAGCGACTTTGGTAGAGTGATACTCCGCCCTTCCCAGAGCCATTACTTTCAGGGGGATCTGTGGTCCCTTCTTCCCATTCCCTTCTCCATCTCACTTACAGTAACCACAGCGAGATGAGAATACACGATGAGCTGGCAGGCAGCATCCCCTCTCACCCCGCCCAGCTCTGAGCCTCTCCCTCTCTCCCTCTCTCTATAGCCGGATTGGTACCATGAGCTCATGGCCCAGCTGGCTCTGGCAGGGAGAGGAGAGAAAGATAGATAGATGGATGGCTGGTGTTGGGTGTCTCTAATCTAAGTATGTGTCACTCACTGTAGAAGCGAGCTGCGCCCTAGCTGCTTCTGCTCCGTTGCTCAACCCTATACAGTGAGCTCCCGCCTCAGAGGCAACGTGGTGAGCCAGCACAATGTGCAACTTTCAGAAATTCTTAGATTCAAAGCGCAGGGAATTTTTTCACTGCTGCGGTGGCCAAGGTGATTCCAGTTCAGCAGCATGTGCACACACCGAGGCTGCCGATTGTGAGAAATCACTATAAGTCTCTCTGTGTGTGACCTGACGGTGGGTGGTTTTTGAGTTTTGTGGTTGCAGTTTGGCTGAGGCAGCTGTACATTTTGAAGCATGTGTACACACACACACACTCACACCTGGCACCTGGGTTGTCCGCATTACACTGAGAGAGATGAGATCACATGATCCAAACCATGCAGTTTAGAAGAAGTGATCGCGGCTGTGTTTCTACGGAACCTATAATCAGAGGAAAAACAGGTGTGTGTGTGTGAGCAAAGGGGAGGGTGACCAGGTTGTCAACACACACCTGACCTACACTTATCCACCGTGTCCCTTTGGGGAGTACAGTGACACACACACACACAGCAGGTCATTGCGGATTAGGTCATGACACACACTTAACTGCTGCTAAAGTGACTACTCTTTGTTCTATGGTTGAAACCAGTGAGGCAGTTGTCTTATAAATATATCTGCTGTGCAGTTTTAAATTTGGAAAATAATCCATTCAGTGTTTTTGCAGCACGTCATTTTTTTGTTTGTTTTCAAATTGGTACGTCTGTGAAAATTGCCCTGGGATTGCATCAGAGTGTTTGTTCAGTAGAAACTGAGTGGATTTGACTGGATGAAATGTGGGATTCCTGAGTGCAATGTCTATATTATTAGTATAAACAAGATTATGTGTGTGCCCTCATTAGTGTTTTTGTTTTTTTTTGCCATAATGCTCTGGTCACCGGGATAAAAAAAAAAAGCTTATGATAGGAGCCATGATAGCAGCGACCTTACCTAACCCGCAACAGCTAAACTTAGATCACATGGTACAAGCGCCAGAATTCTTATTTGATCCCGCTTCAGGGAATTTCACATGACCTGAACAGTGCAACAATTATGCAAAGTTGTTATGCTGAATAACAAAAAGATGGGTTAACAAGTAACCCCTGTTGAACGAGTCAAGAATGCGAGCCAAGTCCAAAAGGAGTAATCTGATGCCAAACGCATTGATCAAAGGAGG